ATATATATATATATATATATTACACTGAAGTACTTGAGCGCATGATTTATTTCTGCTGTGCCAAGTGTTTTCTTTACTCAGGGAAGTGCTCACTAGATGCGACAGCTCTTCATTTCACAGCTGCAGCTTCCATTCTGCTCTTACAGTCCTCTCATGCCTTGTTCCTCAGTGCGCTCCCGCAGCATCTATTCTGAGATTATTCTGCCACGACGACCGAGACTGTTGGCAGACACATTATGTTAGACCACCTCACTAACCAGCCACTGCATAAGGCACATTTATGTGCCATTTGAAAGAGATGACTAACAGCGTTATGCAAATTTTATCCTCATAATTAATTTGTCTATGAGAAATGCCTTAAATTATAATATCATAAATGGTATAAGGTCAAAGTAAAAAAAAAAATCACCCTTGCCCAGCAAAACATGCCATTTGTAATAAAGAAAATACTATAATCCACTTAGAAAAATGTTTAGTCCACCTAAGGGCACGCCGGAGGAATGCCAATACTATATCACTGCCAAATTCTGATGGTACGGCCTTGTTTTGTGATGGGAGCCTCTGAGATTGAGTGGCTGTCTGAGATTGAGTCCTGAGTATACGACTTGCCGGCTCCTGAGGTGGCAGTAAGGGGAGGCTGGGGCTAGGAGGGCTGTGATGGCACTGCCTGCGTGGCATGGTGTGGCCTTTTCAGCCAGGCGGTGCGTGCTGCATGGCGAGCCAGCCGTACGGCCCAGGAAAGGTCAGGCGTGTCAGACTGGATCAGCGTGTCCTGCGGTGTAGCTCCTCTGGAGAGTGCTGTCAGTCAGGGGAGAAGCGGAGCAGGCAGGCAGCCTCTCTTCAGGGACTTTTTGGAGAAACATACTTCTAAGTGCTGTCCTCTTAAGTTGCTTTGTGGAGAGCATCACAGTATTACCTTGTCTGCTGCATGAATTTGGCTGGCTGAGCAGGTTGTTTTTCCTCTCAGGCGATTTCAGACTTCTCTGCTGAGGACTGCTGTTGGAATTATTTCTGATTGGTACATGTTCATTATCTAACTCTCCAGTCAGGAGTAACTCATGCAGATGTATTCAGTGTGACACTGGGCCGCAAAACAAGGTGCTGATTTTGAAAATGTATTTAACGCTAATGCGCCAAGAACTGACTGAGTAAATGATGTCTTCAGAAGCCTGTGTAATAAAAGGTTAGTATTAGAGAAATATCTGATGTTCTTCTCTACTGAAATTGAAGCGAGCTCAGTGTGATATTCTACCACCAGGTGCAGCTGAACATCTGTCACAGAGATAAATAAACAACAGCAGAACTTTATTGTTGGTCTGAGGCAAATAAACTTGATTATAAAACTCTCAAATGAATCAGCGTGTCAGTCAGTAAATGTATGTAACAATAATCTGATTTGTTCTGTGTATGAGAAGATAACCGTAAAATGAAAAAAAAAAAATCCTATAATAAAATGACTTAATTTGATGTTTACGATGTTAATGCTAAGCACTTGCCATAGTTTGCAGAGTGTATCCACTCTGAGTGAATCCACATAATCTCTAAGATCTCTCAACCAAAACCCGGATCATGCATTATCTTTCAAACCAACACTAAAAGACTTGCACTGAAAAGTTTATCAGCTATTTAAAATATGGGGGTGGGATCTTGTCATTTTCCCCTCACATTCTTCTTTATATCATTCATTTTTCACAGCACCACCACAACAGCAAATATAAAAGCCTATACTTCATTAGTGTTTGACACGCACTCGAGCGCTGACGTGATAAAACAGATGTTCTGGTGATGCTTTTGCACTAGAATTCATCAGGGTCACCCTCCTGTTGCATAACGTTCACAATGTCAGCATCTCTCACAGTCTACAGGGCAGATCGGATGCTTCGGCAGAATTAAGGCTTTGCTTGGCTCTCGCTATTTCGGCATTTGGTATTTTAGTGACATTTAATGGTCAAGTCTTTGAATTAGGGCTAAGCTAATTTGAACTTTATGATACCTTGTCCTTTTATTGTATCGAAGCAATATTTCGCTTTAGTTGAACTTTTGTGATGCTGGTCTCATATGAGTTCAAGCACAGCCAACCCATTATGTGCGAGTTTCACAGATATTAATAATCATTTTTACTGTCTGGAAGTTTGGTTTCGTTTTGAATTCATATTAAGTCTTTGCTGAATTTTGGTTCAGACTGTCACAAACAGCTGGGAGTAAATTTCCTTTTCAATCAGTGATTGATTCTTGTATTAATTAAGTACCATTTTACATCATTATTGTCAGATAGATGTACACAGCAGCTGCCAAAGCACAAGGTCAAGAATATCACAATAAATATGTGAAAATTTTAATTAATTGCACAGCAAGAACAAGACACCACATTTCCCAGCTGTCATTAGCAGTGTTATATATGTGGATTAAAAACTACCTTTCATCCAGGGAAGTGTGCTCTAGAAGTAACTGACAAGCTGATACTAAGTAAAGCAATTTGATAAATACATAAAAAGCCACAAAATAGGCAAATCTTTATAAAGGTTATTAATAAGATTTTGGTTAAACCATTCGGTTCTCTTTTCAGTTTCTTTGCTATTCATAATATAACCCTTCTTTAGAGCTGCTGGTGTGCAGATCAATCTGCTGTCACTTCCCTGAGGCCTGCTTCTGCAGCACAAATCCATTAAAACTGGGATGCGTGTCTCATTTGAACCATTATTATTTGATATTCTTTGTTATAACTTATTAAGACACTGCACAGATGCACTCACTGTTAATGTAAATGACTCATCCTTTTGCATAAGCAACATTTCCACCTTCTAGTTTTTCTCCAGCTTCTGTCTGTTTGTGTTTGCAGTATAGCCACATTTCCTTAAAACCTTCATTTTGTGCATATTTGTGCAGCCCATAAGCATCCACGTGGAGATGGAAGGATATTGAGAGCACTTTTTGGACAGCCCCCCCGGTTTCACTTTATCTTATTTCCTCCCTCCTTTTTTGCTGTTGCCTCGTGATAATATCACGCATATGCTGATGTTGCACTTTTTATCAATTATACAATCTTCATTAGCAGCTTTCTTGTTGCGTATGCATAATGAACGCTCAGTTCAGCAGTACAAAGAGACCAGCGTCAAAACACAGCACGGCACAGACCCTCGTCGATGCTCTGATTGAATGAAACGTTGAAAGAGAGCGAGAGAGAGACATGTGCCTATTTAGCAATGTCCTCTACTGTGATTCTGAAAATCGATTTCTAGATCACGGCATCCTCAAGGTTTTCATGTTATGTGGACTGTGTTCAAAGTTGTGTGTTGGCCTGAAAAGGCAGAGATAACAAAGGATTTGAAACTTGAGCAAAATGATAGCACTGTTTGGTTTTGGGTCTTTTTAATCATCTTTTATTGTAGATTATCACCTTGAAAATGTGGATATATCCTAGTTGTGGAGTTACACATTATGTATCTTTGTGTTACTGTAAATGCACTATGCAATATAAATTGTTCTATTGGAAGCTGAAGGAAAATATCCTTTATATTATGAGGTCATTGGTATTAATTTAATGATTACTTTAGCTTAAAGTTTGACAAGCAATAAGGTGAAGCAGCTACCAGAATAATTCTTTATTCATCAGTAACATGGTGCCACTTTATTAGCAGATGAAGCTACTTTATCCCTGTTTCCCAGAACTGTGAAAGTTCCTGCCAAAAGCATTTTTTTTGCCCACCAGTCTTCAAAATAACATAATCACATTCCCTTCATTTCTACAGCAGTCCAGCAGGAGCAGTAACCAGT